TTCTTCAAGTTAGGGTTAGGGTTGGGACAATATTATGGTGTTACATTTGTGCCATCGGCTTAAATGCGCAGTAACACTGATTTGAGAGCAGATATCAATGTGAACAAACAATAATTTGAACCGTATTACCGTAGTACCGTTATTAGGCTATAGTAGGCAATATTTCTTAATTACATTAAGATAAATTACTGCTGGTTTTGATATTTGTAGAAATTCAAATGAATTTATTGGTCCTTCTTCATTGCTGATATTCTGTTGTATCAAGAGTGCTTAGTTCAATTTGAGTATCTACAAATAGTATTAAAACCAACAAGTAATGAATCCTAATGCATTTTGGAAACATTTTCTAAAAGACACAATGACAGTGACCACATTTTATGCTTAACTAAATGTTGTTGGGCTACAAAACTTAAATATATCATCTTTTGCTGATTTTAATACATCTAAGATTTTATCGAGGCTTGTCGCTGGAAAGCCTCGATAAAAGACGCCGACGTCTCCKCTGATGATGAGCGCTAGTGTCGTGGTAGCAACATGCTATGTGTTTACATCMATYGYTGCCATGTTTGTAATGACTTATYRYGAGAACAAACGTATTCATGTGACTTTAATAACATTTCTTACTTAATGGAAACGCTGCAGTTGCGAAACTGTTTTTCGACATTAACAGAATATCGACAAAGTTTTGCGCACATTTGCAATGGAAACGCAGCTATAGTTGGCTTTGCTGTTGTTTTTTTTCTCCACACTTGTTTTTCTGGTGGCTTTGCTCCAAAATAATTTAATATACATCCTCATCTCTTTGCATTGTTTTCCACCTACAGACTGAACTTTCTTGGCAGTAAAATTCAGCTCTTTCTATTGAATCTCTTCATCCAGGCCAACAAGTGGCTAATACGTTGATGAACTTGGTATGCTTGTTTGTCTTTGTGTCTATGGTGTATAATGATGTGATTGTGATGCTGTAATTCTGAGTGTTTGATGTGCTGAAGAACAGGAACCTGCTGTAAAACAGCAATTATGCTGAGTCAGGCTTGATTTTTAGTMATCTTTTCCTGTTAAATAAGTAAATCTAATCTAAATCTAAACTTTTGAGAAAGTGTTTAAGGTTGCTTAGTGCCACCACGATTTTAAAGTTGAACAACCTCTAAGATCCAGGAAGCAATTTGGAAGTCTGTGACTCTGTCATAACCCAACATAAATGATCATAAATCAGGTTCTGGCCTAACAGTGTCACATAGAAGTTAATAAGAAAGCAGCATGTCTCACCACAAAACCTTTCTGTGTTAACCTGTATTGGATTTAAAACTGGGGATCGCTACGTGTTGACTAATTGGATTAACTGCTCAGGATTTTCAGGGATTATCAGGATCTGTTGGCTGAAGTTATTTCAAACGTAGAGCTACTCTCTGCTCGTGTGCTTCTTTCTTCAAGGTGCTGTAGTTTTCTGCAGCGATACCGTCAAGTCCAATCTAAAAATAAATACTTTAAAGAAACACAAATCTCCTCTTCCTTTGAGATTCTGCAGATTATCAGACTAAGATACTAAAAACAAAAGTAGCATGGGAGGTGTTGACAATCCCAGTGAAGGATCACCCCCTCATCTCTCATTTTTTCCATTATCGCCCTCCCCACCAGTTTATTTTAAAAATATAACTGGGTTTCAAGTGGGTTGTCTTCATGAGAAGAGCCTGGTGTTTACAGAGCGAGGTGTGTTCTAACGTACGAGGAGGAACAGGTCCACTGAGGCCTGGTTTGCATGTCCTCAAAATGGCCATAGATTTATTGTGTTTCTTTTACTGCTGCTGATGCACGTGCATTCACGCACACACTCAGTGTTGATGGCAAATCATTAACCGCTGTGTGCAAAAATCTAAGGTTAATGACCCCAATTGCTCTGGAGTGTCTCGAGTAATTTACATCTGAGAGAACGAGAGTAGAACAGGAAACAGGAACTGTGTGGGGTGACACTGAAACCTGAACTGAACAGTTCATCTTTAAACCACGACACTCAGATGACGTTTTAATATTTGAGGACAAAAGAAAAATTCTGTGAGGAAAAACAGAAAAAGAAAAACTCGTTGASAAAATAATGTTTAGTTAATTAAGGTACTTACGGTAGTTGGAGCGATCGGTTGGAGGAAAAAGAAACCAAACAAAACTGCTTCTTTTCATTTCCTTTATTTAACCCAGAAAAATTAGAGATTTAAAAATATAATTTACAGAGTGTCCTGGTTAGGACTGTAGCAATGCATTGATCCACATCAATGTCAATTAAATCAATTAAATGATTAATGATTCAATTACATCAAGGCAAAACAAAGCATCATTCTAGATCAGTGGTTCTTAACCTTTTTTGAGGTACCGAACCCACCAGTTTCGTATGCGCATTCACTAAACCCTTTTTAGTGATAAATAAAATATGACTTTTTTTCCCCAAATTCAAGACATAAGTATGTTTTTTTTTACTGGTGTATAAAATGAGCCGTGCATGAACATCACCTTGCTC